CCCACAGCATATTATGGAGGAAAACCTTCCTGTACGCCAACTGTCAGGAGACCCAGGAGGGGGGTGTGTGCTCCTAGTCAGGCTCTGCCGGCTGCAGCCACCCATAGTGCCCAGGCAGTGGATGGTGACAGCGTTGACCCCTCCCTCTGCTGGAGTTGCTGCTGCTGCCTCCATTGGGGCCCACAGGCCGACGCTGCCAGCAGGAAAACCTGGACCCATGGGGCAAGTGCATCACCAGACTGATGGTGCCTCCTGATACCCCAAAATCCCCACTGTGCCTTTGGCCAGACTCCAACAACTCAGGACCCAGTTTCCCAAGTGGGAGCCATGCCCACAAACCAACCTCCAGCACAGCCACACAAGTTCATTTATCCGCCTTGCTTCAGAGACTCATAAATAAATCTCAAAAGAGATAAAAAGTTAATCTCGGACCCTTGCAGGGCTAAACAGACCCAGGTAGACTGGAGGGAGACAGGTTAGCCACTGCCTCTCCAAACAGTGCACCCAGTAGCTGCTTGCTCCCATAATGTAAAATTGCCACCATGTTCCTGGCTGGACTCCACCATCTCAGGAAGAACCTCACCGAGATATTAAAATTCTGCTGAAAATTCATATATTTGGGTTTTCTCAGGATCACGATGGACTACCTCCCCACACCTCCCTTTACTTCCAGAAGTCCTAGCAGTCATGTCCACACCCCAAATCCACCACCTACTAGCAGGCACAAAATAATTTATTTTATAATGCTTGTTACACTAAATGGCTAATGGGATTATCAAAAAATGCTTCAGTAAAAGAAAATCTGTGAAAATTGTCATATCTCACCATGAGGTCATTAAATCCTTGTCCAAAGGTTTTCTGAGCTATTTGTTGCTAGTTGAGCCTCCTGTGTTAATGTTTTTTTTGTGCCTTGAGCTTAGCAGGCTTCTGTATTACTTTCCTATCTAATTTGGTGTGCTTCGCCTAGGATGTCATTGTAGAATGTGGAGGTCTCTCACAGCCTTGTGTTCCAGGAACTCCAGGATCTGCAGAATGGTTTTACATGGCGGTGGTTGTGGGATTTGGTATGAATACCGTGCATCTGGAAGTATGGGGGTGGGAGGAAGCCTCACACCCCCACTCTGAGAAGACCTCAGAGTTCTCAGCCTGAAAAGCAGTGTACCTGAAATTCTCTTCAATTTGGTGTTTCTGCAGAGATTAATCATGAAGTGGTAGAGTTGAGTATTGGCATGGTGGCAGTTGTGGAATATGGTGTGACTGCTAGAGCTTCAGCAGGGTGAAGTTTCTGCCCACCCCTAGGATACCCCAGAATTTTCAGGACACCAGTGTACCCATGAATTTTAGTGGCTTGGCTTGCATATTCTCAGAGATTTAGCCTCTAGTATGTTCAAAAGTTTTACAGTTGTCTTTATGTAGGTCTGTGTTCCATTTTGAGTTAATTTTGATTTATGGTATGAAATAGGAATTGAGGTTTATATTGTGTATAATAGTAAAATATCATAAATATTTTCCTCTATGAAACTTAGAGTTACTAGTAAAGATATTTATTGTTTAAATAGAAGGAGATACGTTTTCCCTTAATGTAATGCAGAGTACAGTATGGCTACAGATTTATAGCTTGATTCTAAGTTAAAGAATACCTTAGATTAGTGGGCAAATTATTACCAGCAGAATAGTATGCATTTTTGTAACATTAGATATTTGGGGGATACATTTCACCATTTCACCTAAGCAAATAGTGTAACTATAGTCATTACTATTTGTATTTATTTAAAAGACATTTTTGAGGATCTGAGAAGTACAAGGCACTAGACTTCTTAAATGATGCGGGCAAATTATTCCTTTACAGTCCATAATAACCTATATGCAATTAACATCTTATTTTGAGAATGAAAGGGATTCAAAGTAACTAACTTTATTGAACAAAATAATTACTGTCTGAGGAACATCTGTCAACAGTAAGTGACTTGGAACTCTTGGAAATGTAATAAAGATTATTACAGAAAGAACTGAGTTAAACAGAAAACTTTTATAGTGAATATAGCTTGGATTTGTTTGTGAAAAAGGTTACTCAGTAATTGGTAGTGCTGCCACAACCATTTAATCACGTTTTTCTCTGTAGGTCATCAGCTCAATGAGCTCCCTCTCTGAGTACTGCCTGCCTTCCATCCTGCGTACATTATTTGACTGGTATAAGAGACAAAATGGCATTGAAGATGAGTCACACGAATACAGACCAAGAACAAGCAATAAATCAAAAAGGTATTTTACTTTCATATAAGGATCATGTGGATTATGGTTTCTTTCAAGAACTATTGATCATTGGTGTGGAAGCGATAGTACAGCAGGTAGTGCATGACCTGGATTAGATAGATCCCCACCATCCCATATGAGCCTGCCAGAAGTGATCCCTGAATGCAGAGCCAGGAGTAAGCCCTAAACACAGCAGGTTGTGGCCCAGAAGACAAAATAAATCAATACAAATGGGAATTAAGTGGCATCCTGGCTTTCCCATATTATCACACAGATAGATGCGTTGCAGGTGTCCCCTTACCTAACTGCCTGCTGTCATTGGCTGAAACTTCATACACAGCCATAGTTTTGACATGGCACAGGGGTCAGATGTAACAAACCCCAGCTCATTCTCTTTTTGTTGTTTGTTTTCGGAGCTGCATCCAGCGGTGCTCAGTGGTTACTTTTGGTCTACGCTCAGGGATCTCTCCTGGCAGTGCTCAGGGGACCATATGGCATACTGGGGATTGAACCTGGGTCAGTTGCAAGCAAGACAAATACCCTACTCACTGTGCCATCACTCCAGCCCCGTCTTGCCATTTTCCCCACTGTTCCTCTCTTCCATTCTACTTAAGAACAAGGCCCACTGCAAGCCCTGCCTGAAATTGCCTAGATCTTTCTGTCCTGGATAAGAGCCTTGAGTTTCCTTGAGTGAGAAGGACACTCACTGGACATTAGCTAAAGTCTTGGAGTGGTCACCAGTTAATTAGCCAGATTTCAGGCTGCTCACCACCTCTCTGCACCTCAGTATGTGTGTGTGAAAAACAGGGAAATTAGATTACACTAACTCTAACTTCCTTTCATCTGAGAATTGTGCTGATTACTCTTTAATTCTTCTTTCTTGTGCATTTGAAACAGTAGAATCTCTGCTACATGAGCATTTCAGTAGTTCTTAAGACTTAAGATTCTGGTGCTGTGAAATGAATTTGCATCTTCTTAAATTTTAGATACCAATACCAATTTATATATTTGGAATCAACTATCACTATAATAATATAGCAAATATAAGAAAGTCTAATTCAGGTATTTTCCCAAGTTAATTATTTTAAAAGCAGGTTTCTTCACATTGATTATGCTTTAAAAAATTCTTTTCAACATAGTAAACTGAAATTGACTACATACAAATCAAATATTAATTACTCCTCGAGTAATTAATATTAAGAGAGTAATATTTTTCTTGATATTCCTAATCCATTTTGTAAAACAAACAAACAAACGAACAAGAAACATAGTCCTTTCTGGAAATAGAAAAGTTGAAATTTTACCAAATTGTGTGTCATCCAGACTTGTAAATGTATTGGTGGAATTTGTGCAAGAATTATTGATTTATTGTTCTGTTTGGGAGGGAAATTCATAACCTTTTCATACTGAATAACTTATAATTGAAGAGGGCATTTTTAATTATTTTATTTTTCATAAAGTTGTTCACAGTAATTGATTACATCCGTTATTTTGACACCAATCCACCACCATTACACCTTCCCACCACCATCATTTCAAATTTTCCCACCACCACTGAAGCCTGCCACAGGCAGATGCTAATTTATTTTGTATTGCTTATTATGAATAGCACGAGATGTCGTGCGCCTGCAAAAACGGCCACCCGCTCTGGGAATCTAAAATTTTAAATAATTGGGGTCCAGAGACATCTGTGCAGCAAGCTTTTGAGTCTCTGGATCTTGGCCATTAAAGTGCTAGAATGGCACCTGGAGGCATTTAAACTTGTGGGCGTGACAGCCAGGACCCCAAAGGGATGGGGACTTGGGAAGGACTGGAATTTTCAGTCACTCGTCCTGCACACCTGGGTTTTTCACTGGGTTCTGGAGGTTTGTGAAGTTTGTGGCCACCAGAATTATACAGGGCAGGTGGAGGGATGACGCCTGCTCCTGTCTGAGGCTTCCAGGTGAAATCGGCCTGGTGCTTCCCAACACCCTTTATTTGGTGCTGCTTTCTCTGAGCTGCCTTTACCCCTAGAGTGTGCAGCTGGCCGCCAAGCCATGGAGTAAACCTCCTGGTATTTATCGGGGCTCCTCTTGGGTGTTTGTCTCCTATTTTGTTACTTTATGTTCCCCAGATGAATGCAATCTTTTCCATGCTGAAAGTAGACTATAGACCAAACATGATTGCCGTTCAGTTCCTCTTTTGCAAACCACAGCACCCAAAAGGAAGAGAGAACAAAAGGGAATGCCTGCCACAGAGGCAGGGTGGGATGGGGGGATGGGGGGTGGGAGGGATACTGGGACCCGTGGTGATGGAGAATGGGCCCTGGTGGAGGGATGGGTACTCGATCACTGTATAACTGAAACCCAAGCACAAAACTTTGTAAGTCTACAGCTGTACCTTATGGTGTTTCACTAATAAAAATTTATAAAAAAAGAAAGAAAGAAAGAAAGAGAAAGAAAGAAAGAAAGAAAGAAAGAAAGAAAGAAAGAAAGAAAGAGAGAAAGAGAAATTGGCCTGATGCGAGGTCCGGAACATCTGTGGACGAGCTGCTCAGTTCTGAGATTCAGTTGTGAGTCTCTGGATAAGACGGTATTTTTTATTTGGGGTCCAGTGCACAATTGGTAAAATTCACTCTTTACAAGTGTGTGACTCAATACTATTAGGATATTCATACAGTTGTTCAAACACCACCATTTTCTAATTCCAGAACATTTTTACCACCCCTCAAAAAGAAACACAGTGCTAACTAGTTTGAGGGTTTTTTTTTTTTTCTGTTAAGCCATTTCTTCTAGAAAGAGGACACAAAGAAAAATCCTCCCTCTTCAGATCATGACAATTTTAATCTAGCTCATATGCATAGCCACCCTTAATATTAGTAGAGGGAAGAAAATCAGTGATAAAATGGAAAAATCTTAATTTTTAAGATCTATTCAGCTGGAGCGATAGCACAGCAGGTAGGGCGTTTGCCTTGCACGCGGCCGAACCGGCTGACCCGAGTTCGATTCCTCTGCCCCTCTGGGAGAGCCCGGCAAGCTACTGAGAGTATCTCGCCCACACGGCAAAGCCTGGCAAGCTACCTGTGATATATTCAGTATGCCAAACACAGTAACAACAAGTCTCACAATGGAGACATTTCTGGGCCCGCTCGAGCAAATCGATGAACAATGGGAGGACAGTGCAGTGTTACATTCAGTTTTAAGAGTATAATTTTAAGTGTGTGTGTGAAAATGGGCCAAACCGCTTAATTAATATAATTTATATTAATTATCAAATTAATTTATAGTTATCATAGCCATGTAATTATGGGTATATTACATAATAGTTTATGAACAGATTCTCAATCTTTTATGTGGATGAAGAAGGGGAAGTTTTATTGAGTTGATTTAGATGTTAGTTTTACTGTTAGTAGTTTGTAAAGCTATATTTTTTCAACATATGTCTTTATTGATTGAAAATAATAGGTTTTTAAATCATCTTGTGAATTATTTTCAGATTGGAGTAATTACCAAGAACAATTATAAAATCTGGATAGCAAAATTCAACTTACTAGAATTTTTGTTAGCCTTTGAAAGCTTGGGATGAGAGAGAACATGTATTAGGAAGAAAGCCAGAAGAGTGAAGGTCTCTAGAGAAATATGTAGCAAATAATCCAAGTTTCTGTTACTCAAAAAAAGGAAAGAGGAACCTTGGAGAGAAACATAAGCAACTGAACAGTCAAATGTGACAGATGTGTATTTAGATTATGATTTCTAAGATTAGAATAATATCAACATTTTGACTGCCAAATATATTTGTCAAAAGCCTCTGACTCCTGGCAGTTAGACCTCAAACCAGCAGTAAAGTTGAATTCATTATTGGAAAAGTATATGTCCTATTTTATTTGAAAACATAAATTGGCTTATTAAATAAAAAGAAAGTCAGGGCTTTTAATTTTTTTTCTCCTGCTGCTTTTTTTTTTCTGCTGCTTTCTCGAGGGCCTCTGATCCCTTTGGCACACCCCTGATAGCCTTCGATCCAAAATATCTCTACCACAATTTTTTTAATTTATTCTACCCAATTCTACCACAGCTGGAAATCTCTGAAAGTTCTCCTTCCTTTTCATTTTCAAATTTCTTGTTTCCTAATTTCATGATGTCATCTCAAAGTCAGTCTTCTGCTGCAGACTCTCCCTGGCTAGCAACACTTTTCCTTTTTAATTTTTATTAGTGAAACACCATGAGGTAGAGTTGTAGACTTACAAATTTTGGTGCCTGGGTTTCAGTTATACAGTGATCGAGTACCCATCCCTCCACCAGTGCCCATTCTCCACCACCACTGATCCCAGTATCCCTCCCACACCCCATCCCCCCAATTCCACCCTGCCTCTGTGACAAGGCATTCCCTTTTGTTCTCTCTCTCCTTTGGGTTGCTGGGAGGGGAAGAAGACCAGCACAGCTAGCAACACGTTTTAGTTCTAATGGTTTTGAAGAACTTCTGTGCCACTGCGCTTGCTCCTAGCAGGACTGTAGGAAAGGAGCCTGATTGGATGAGATCCTACCCTGTCCTCACTATCCCCTTGAAAGTTAAAGCTGCAGCTACTCTGGTTGAACCTTCCCCTGTCAGATTATGTTCATGCTTTCCCATTGACTTTATTTAATGTACAAATATTGAGCATTTCTTTGTTCTGCAGACAATAACTATTTTACATTCCTATCTTATTGATTTATACTCAAACTTTTGCATAAGTACTATTAGCAGTCCCATTTTGCAGTTGGAGAAATTACTGGTAAGTAGAAGAGGCATAGTTTTAACCAAAGACTATTCCATAAAACAAATGCTTTTAGCCATGATTCAGTGCTTCGGATAATCACTTCCTCTGTCTTTCTTTGTTCAATTCCAAATTAGTCTACAATTCATATGTTAGATTGGCGGAAATGAGAAGCAGGGAAGGAACTTAAATTTCTGTCCTTGTGGCAGAGATAATTTTGAATGAGTAGCTCTTAGTTTTGAAGGAGTTCAAATGACTCCATTTGGCTGAACCTCCCTCTTCCATCTGCTTTTTTGTGTTTGCGTTTTGGGGACCACAGGCAGCAACACTCAGGGGCTACTTTCAATGTAGGTGTCATGTCACCTAGTCCTGGGCCTTCTTCATTGAAGTCTGTGAAGTCTGTCCCTTGAACTATATCTGGCCACCGTTTGTCATTCAGTCTTTTTCTTTCCTTACCTCTTTACCTCTTTACTCCTTTCATAAGCCTCAAGCAGCAGAAGAAAAAGACCGAAAAGAAAAGAAGAAAAATTCTGATTCTTTCTTCACCCCTTGCAGCTCTGCTCCAATGATTAATAATACTTCCCTGTCATTTCCTTCCATTATTTAGCTCCTTACAAAAGGTCCTTTTTGTGTACACCTCCGTGTATAGTAGCCCGAAACTATTCACTAAACAAAGCCTATAACCATTTCACAGACAATACGATTCCTGGTTGCAATAATGCTATCTTTACTATTCCATAAGATGAAATTATAGAATCACGAATATCTACTCAAGTTGCCATGACTGAAAATTTAAAAATTGAAATAAAAGATTCTGATTTAACATCTTTCATGTATTATTTGTCAACTGCACCACACTGATAATAAGAATCTTTTTCACATTTATTTAGCATAGAAATCTTGTAATAACAAAATTGGTTTATGGTCCAACTGGGGATTATTTTTATGTATATTATCACTTGTAATATATCTTGACTTCCATTAAATGTGACTATTTTCAATTTTACAGTGATGAACAACAACGAGATTATTTAATGGAAAGACGGGACCTCGCCATTGATTTTATTTTTTCTTTAGTATTAATAGAAGTTTTGAAACAGGTAGGTAATGAATTTAGAGTTGCTCTTAGATAAGATCGATAAGATCTAAAAACTATATTTGAAAAATCTAAATTTCTATCTCTGGCTCTGTCCTCTGAGTGACTCTTCTTACTCAGCATGATACTCGGCATGTCCATACGTTTATAAGCAGATTTCGTGACTTCATGACATAGAATGATTGCACTCATTCGTGGTATGTAAAAAACACATTTGAGGTTATTGCCCATGGACAATAGAAATGAGGGCCGGGATTGGCCCATGATTGGAAACTTGTCACAAGTGAGGGAAGTGGGAGAGGGCAATTAGGATAGAGAAGGGACCGCTATGTCAATGACAGTTGGAAATGATCACTCTGGACAAGAACTGTGTGCTAAAAGGAGGTAAAGGAATATACGTGATGACCTTACAGTACCTGTACCCCAAATCATAAAGCCCCAGACAAGACAAAAGAGAGAGAGAAATAGAGAGAGACAAATAGAGAAAGAAAGAGAAGAAAAGTGTCTGCCATCGAGCCAGACTGGGAATGAAGGGTAGAAGGAGGGAAACTGGTGACTTTGGTGGTAAGAAGTGTACACTGGGCAGGTGTTAGAACATGTTATGACTGAAACTTGATCACAGACAACTTCGTAACTATTTACTTCACAGTGATTTAATAAAAATTTTAATCTTAAATTGTTTATGAGTCTTAAATATTAGATTATGTGGATTATTTATGGATTACTCAAAGCTGTATGTGGTTATTGAAGTATTATTGCTGCTCTGATCTTTAATATCCCTTCAATATTTTCTTTTCTCACAGATTCCACTTCATCCTGTAATAGACAGCTTGATACATGATGTTATTAACTTAGCTTTCAAGCACTTTAAATACAAAGAAGGGTAAAGTAATTTTTCACCTTAGAGTTTTAAGCTTAGAGTTTTCAAGCTAAATCAGGCTGGGTCTCTTCAGATGACCAGGGATCTCTGAACTTGTTGAATTATTTCTTCCTAGGTACCTTGGTCCTAACACTGGCAATATGCACATCGTTGCAGACCTATATGCGGAAGTCATTGGTGTTCTGGCACAAGCTAAGTAAGTGATCATTAAACCATAAATGGGATCATGAAACCACAGGAATGAGTGCCTCTCTCAACCCACCTCAGCCTTACCCTCACGAGGGTGATGTGTCTGAGTTTATAGGGCACTAAAGCTGTCTCACCTCTAATTTTGATTAAGAAGTTCCTCCAAAGCAAGTGCTGAGTCCTTTTTCAGTATGTCTTCTCTGTTACCTCTTTCACAAGCAATTGGGCCAGATCTTGCCCAATGTCCATGAGTTTTCATGAATTTCAGGCAGCTGTATCAGGAAAGAGACTTACCACGTATTTAGTTTGTTTCTACCCAAGAATTCCAAAGAAGTTCATCAGTTTTGAAAGTTTTGTTATATATGGTCTGTGAGGGGAAGGTTACAATATATCATCTATGAATGGGAAAATTCCATTTTAGAATATCTCTGTACTATAGCCCTTACTTAATTCAGCTGAGTTAAAAATGGCCCAGACTCTGTCATGGAAACAAGTGGGGGGATAAGGGTGGGGAATTCTCATTGCTAAATTTATCTGGCCATGTAACATTACTTGCAGGCTAGAACAAAGTAGTGTTATACTATTAGCAATGATATACTCCTTCCAAAAGTAATGTCACACCCTATTCACCCATCTTCATCTTATTCAACCCCGAGGCAAAGTGGGCAAGATTACGAATGCCTAGGTTAGGCCAAATGAGCCCCAAACATAATATGAGACCAAGCCAAGAGGCCAGTTTAAAGTAACAGTAATGCCCTGAGCCTTGTGAAATATAATCCTTGAGATTTTTATCTCCAGGACATGGAGTTTCCTAACTTAGTAGCATGGAAACACCCGTTTTATTTTTCCCTTTTTATAATTAAAAAATTAGGGTCACACCCAGTGGTACACAGGAGTTACCCCTGGCTTTGTGAGCAAAGATTGTTCCTGGCAGTGCTTGGGGAACCATATGCAGTGTCAGGAATAAAACCAGGACTGGCCATGTTCCAAAGCAAGCACC